TGTACGGTTGCTGGAACTGCACCCAGGCGTGCGTCGCTGCCGGCAGTGACGCTGTCGCGTTCACGATGAAAGTTGCGACGTACGGGAAAAGCCAACTTTACAGTAAGTCGCTGGCGGCAAAAAGTGCTGCCGCTGGCGTCTTATTTTCTGGCGCGACGGGCGTTTGTGCGTTGGCGGGCGTGAATAAAACGGGCGATGGATGCGCCGGTGAAAAACTCGTTGTGGCCAAACCACCGGCACCTGCGGCGGTCAGACTAACGGGAGGAGCTGAGGCACAGCAGCAAGGACGGACAGTTGAAGCCAAAAGTGAGCCGCAGCTGCAGGAGGAAGGCCGACGCGACACAGAAAAAGTTGCAGCAGGAGCTGAGCGCGGCAACCCCGCAGGCACCGCAGCGCAGGATCCTGCAGGCCCTGCGCCTCAGCCCACGGTCAAGCCGCCTGCAGAGTCTGCGGCCCCGGTGGGTGGTGTCGGTGGGCAGCCCGCGCACACCGTTGAGGGCACAAAGCAGGTGGATGAAGGTGTGCCCGCCAGCAGCGCGTCGCCCAAACAGAGCGCACAGCCACAGGCGGGAGGTGGCTTGGCTCAAGTCGGCGTTGACGGTGCCACGGGGCAACCGAATGCGGAAAAAGGCAGTGAAGAAGCGGGAGGCGTTGCAGAACGTCAAGCGACGACCGAGCACGGCAGCGACTCGACAACCCCCGCGCAGTCCACTGCCGGCTCGGTGACCATCGCCGGGCCCCAGCTGCCCGAGAGCAAAAGGCAGACGCAAGGGGCGGCGGCGCAGAGCGGTGGGCAACCCGAAATTGGCTCTGCGGTCACCAGCGGCCCTGCCGCTCCCGCTGGAAGTCGCGCGGGGACAACTCCACAAGTTCCCTCCGCAGGTGGCGTTGGGGCTGCCGGCGGTCAGACTGGAGAACCGAAGGAGGCGAATGCCGAAGTCACCGCAGAGTCCGATGCTGCTCGCGCACCTGCAGAGAGCGAGGCTAAAACACCTGCAGCGGGGCCCATCGCCACCAGCACAGGTAACACCGCGACTACGACTGGCGGTGACAGCGGCAGCCCCGTGGCGCAGTCGCAGCCGGCGAATTCCGTGGCGGCAAACGAGGCGGGTCATGTACAGCAAAAGGAGCAGCCCGCAGTCACCACCTCCAAGCAGGAAACGGAAAAGAGTGGTGGCAGCAATGAACAAACCGCTCAGCCGGCAGCGGGGGCGGCTGCTCAAGTGGAGACCACCACCAACAATTCGACGAGTGCAGCGAAGACGGCGCCCGGCGACAGCGACGGCAGCAGCACCGCGGCCTCCCCATTTGCGCTGCTTCTTCTGCTTGCTTGTGCGGGTGCCGCTGCGATGCTGGCTGCGTGAGAGAATGAGTGAGAAGGAGAGGGCCGTGCACACACAGCTCGCCCTTTTCTGTTTCTTTCTCTTTGTTGTGTGCGTTTCCCTGCACGGATTCTCTCGCCCTCGCCGCACCCCACGAGGCAGGCACACACAATGTGCTCATAACTATACACAACTCCACTCGTGCAGGCCCGTTGGTTTTCTCTTCCTCCTTTGCTCCCGACGAGCCGCTGCCGCCCTGCTTGGCCGCATGGGTACAGCAACGTAACTGTTTTTATCCTTTTTATTGTTTGTTTGTTTTCCATTGCTTTCAGTGGGCGACCTCTCTTGTTTCTTCTCTATCTCTTCCTGGATTGGGCTGTGCGGGAACAGAGAAAGAGAGATGGAGTGTGCGCGATGGTCGTCTCACGTGTTGCTGCGCGTCCCCACTGCTCGGTGGACGCGCCCCCACGCTTCGGATTCACTTCACGGGATTTGTTTTTGCTTTTTTATTTATCTGCTTGTGTTTGTGTGTTTTGGGTGGTCTGTACACGTTTTGCAGCTCGTGTGTGTACGATGCTTCCTGCAAAGGAAGAGGGCAACTTTATTTTGGCTTCAGTCGACTGTTTTTTTTTTCAGTAATTCTGCCTGCTCAGCGCCGTGCGTGGGGTGGACGGGAGTAAATGCCCGGAGGCGGAGGCGCAAAAATCCGTCGTGCCGCGGCGCGGCGGGGATGTGTGGCTTTGCCTCCTCCTCCTCTTCGTGCCTGCAGCCGCCCTTCCCTCCTCCTCCTCTTCTCATTCCCCTCCCGCAGACAAGCGCTGCGCTACCACCACTGCAGTCATTCTTCACCAAACTCAGGCACACACACGCTTTTCTCACGCCATGCACCGCCGACTCCGCGCCGCGCCGTTTCTCCCACTGCTGCTGCTGCTGCTCGTGCTGCACTGCGCCTGCGGGTGCCGCGCCGCTGCGGGCCGCCGTGTGTTCGACGACACGGTGTCGAAGAGGGGCCGGCCGGCGGCTGCGGTGGTGCGTGAGGTGCCGCGGAGGGGGCAGGGCGCGGCGCAGGCGTACACCGTCGCAGCGGCAGGAGGAAAGAACAGCGAGGGCTGGGCGCCCATCCGCATCGAGGTGTCTACGAAGGACCTGGAGCAGAGTACTCGGAGGGGGAAGATGAAGAGGTACTGCGAAGCAGCGGGGGATCAGTGCATGAACTACTTGGGGGAAACGGTAACTTGCAGAGCCGAGCACGTACTGACGGAGCAAAAGAAGGAGTTGTATACGAAGAAGATTATTCCTGGGGCCGTCAAGCTGCACGCGGAGCGACTTCTCGTGCAGCCAGTGGCTGAGAAAATTGTTGTGCCGCGAGCTCCGACAGGGCACTGCCAGCACTTTACAATTCCAACTGAGCACCAGAGGAGCGGGGGTGTGGCGAATGCCGACATGGTCCTCTACGCTGCTGCCGGGCCACTCGGTCATGACGTTCCGGCGTGGGCGGCCACGTGTGCCACGTTGGGTGACCTCCGCCCTTCCGTCGGCGCCATGAACTTCAACCCGGCGTACATGACCGACTCGGCGTGGAGCGTCCGCGTCGCCGCGCACGAGCTGGCGCATGCCCTCGGGTTCAGCCACGAGGCAATGGGGCAC